CCAGCACCCTTGGCTGGGGGAGACCAGGCACAAAGAGGAGCAGCCCCCAGGGCTGGATGCCAGCAACAGTCAACATGCATTTATTGAGTGCCTACCCCTCCTGCAGTCTGGAGACCTCGGCCCGCAGCAGCCCCTTTGGGAGCCTCGGTTTCCCCTCCTAAGGCCCTGGGCTGAGCAGAGGGAGGGAGGCACAGGTGTGTCTACATACACACATACATAGATGATAGATCCATAGATAGGTAGGTGATAGATAGTTGATAGTGGAGAGAATTGTAGACAACTCAGGGATGGACAGAAAGCCACGAGGAACAGAAGAGGAAAGAGCAAGAGCAGGGGAGATGGAGAGATAGCAATGGGGCTAGTGCGAGTCACAGACAGCTGGCAGGCAGAGGGACGAAGGGGCAGAGTACAAGAGGCTGTCTAGGAGGCTGCAGACCCTTGGAGACACCCAAGAGAAACAGGGGAGGCCCACGATGTCCCCGACACAGACACCGGCCACATCAGGCCCAGCAGCCCCACCTGTGCAGTGGTTCAGCACAGTGGCAGTGTCAAGCACGGCAGAGGTGGCAGTCAACGTGTGTGTGCCGTGGCTGGTGAGGGCACTGGGTGTCTGGCTGTCCTACTGCAGCTGGTCTCACCATGCTCTGCGGGTCGGTGGCTGACAGAAACTGGACCTCTGGCAACATCACTGGCTGCACTCAGCCTCAGACTCCCAATATGTCCCCACCTGCTTGCTGGCCCCCACCCTAGGCCTGTGGTAGGACCTCAGCTGCCGACCTTGCCCATAGTACTGCTGGCCCAGTGAGGCGGCCTGGCAAGAAATCTCATAACGTCAGGCTCAAATCCCCTGCTTCAGGCAGGAGAATCAGGCGCGTGCGGTTCCTAGGTACTAAGCCGTGGTCATTTTTTTTTTTTTTTTTTTGAGATGGAGTCTCTCTCTTTCGCCCAGGCTGGAGCGCAGTGCTGCTGCATCTCGGCTCACTGCAAGCTCCGCCTCCCGGGTTCACGCCATTCCCTGGCCTCAGCCTCCCGAGTAGCTGGGACTACAGGCGCCCGCCACCTCGCCCGCTAGTTTGTCTGTGATTTGTTTTAGTAGAGACGGGGTTTCACCGTGTTAGCCAGGATCGGTCTCGGATCTCCCTGACCTCGTGATCCACCGCCGTTCTGCCTCCCAAAGTGCTGGGATTACAGGCTTGAGCCACCGCGCCGGCCCTAGCCTGCTACCTAGTGGGTCACTTTCTTACACCTAGCTTCGTGGGCAAGCACCTGGCTTCCCCAGCGGCACACCCCCGAGGGTGGGTTCTGAGCAGAGACTGAGGCTGTCACACCTGGCGCTCCCCCACCCAACCTGAGACCCAGGGTCCCCGCTCCGGCCAACACCCTTCCAGAAACAGGTGGACCCGGCCCATCCTCTGCCTCCCACAGACACCAGGGGTCCCAGTCCCTCCACAACACACCCTGGGGGAGACTGCGCCCTGTTCTCTCGTCCCCTCCCGTCCTGCCTCACCCCTCTCCTCTCCTCTCCTCCTTCACTCTGCTGCTCAGGATTCTATGAGCCCCAGGATTTCGGGGGCAACCCCCCAGGAGCCAACCCCTCCTGCAGTCTGGAGACCTCGGCCCGCAGCAGCCCCTTTGGGAGCCTCGGTTTCCCCTCCTAAGGTCCTGGGCTGAGCAGAGGGAGGGAGGCACAGGTGTGTCTGGGGGTGCGTGGGCAGATGCAGCCCAGCTCCCCTCCCTCCCACCCCCTCCCCATGGCTCCAATTAAGGGTCCTCCACGCTCAATCGCTGCATTTGACTCACTGGCGGCCTCACCTCCCGAACCACGCCTTTGTTCCCTTAATTGGCCATCTCCAGGCACTATTCTCTGTCCCCCGCTGGCGTGCGCTGGTCCCATATCCTAGGTCCAACTATGCGCTAATTGGGTACTTAGAGGGCCCCAGAAAGCCCCTCCCCTCCCTGTTCCCTGCCTTCCTATATCAGCCCCCACCTGCCAGTCCCTCGGATTTCAGGTCGGGCTCCTGGGAGGTGGGGGCAGGGTTAGGGTGTAGTGGGGAGGCCTTGGCCCAATCACCAGCCCTGCCTCCTCCCCAGCCCGGGGTACCTGGGCCTCCAGAGTCCCCTGCCCCTCCCTGCTCACAGATTTGGGGGGTACTTTGGTCAGCAGTATTGTGGGGAGTTACTTCAGACCACCCCGGCCATGCATCCCGGGGTCCCCGAAGGCCCCGGGGTCTCTGAGCCCGGCCCCCGGGAGCTGTGTGCCTTCGTGAGCGGGGCGGCTGCCCACATGCTGCGGGCCCTGCAGCCCCGGCGCACCCGACCCCCCAAGAGACGGCCCAACCACAGACGGTTTCTGCACAACCAGATCTGCAGGTGAGGGGCCGTGGAGAAGGCGGGAATGGGAGGGGGAGGAGGGGGACGAGCAACCAGCACCCTTGGCTGGGGGAGACCAGGCACAAAGAGGAGCAGCCCCCAGGGCTGGATGCCAGCAACAGTCAACATGCATTTATTGAGTGTGTGCCAGGCCAGTTAGCAAAGCAGATAAAGTTCCTTGCTGTCGTGGAGGTTGTGTTTTCATGGGGGTGGCAGGCGGTCAGGACTCACCAAAATAAATAACTAGCATGGTGCGATGCAACCACATGGGTGAACCTTGGAAACATGATGCTGGCCGGGGGTGGTGGCTCAAGCCTGCAATCCCAGCACCTTGAAAAGCTGAGGCAGGAGGATCACTTGAGTTCAGGTGTTAGAGACCAGCCTGCTCACATTTGTCTCTACAGGCAGTTCACCAAGATTGAGGCCGCCACCCAGCGCCTGGCCCTCTCCATCCTGTCCCAGGAGGCACCTCCCCAGAGACCCTCGCTCCAAAAGCCACCCCCGCCGCCTCCATCCCCCTTCCTGGGAGTGGCCTGTGCTGTGGCCCCCACTGAGGCTCCCCATGCCAGCGCCAGCCTGAGTCTCACTGCCCTGGACACCTCTACCCTCGACCTCTTTGACAACATTGTGCTCACCCCAGAGTGTGCCTCAGTGCCACGGGACCCCTCCTCTGGTCCCACTCCCCTGCCGGTGCCGGGTCTGTCCTATCTCGACCTGGGCCAGCCGGACCTGAAGCAGGTCCCACGTTTCTGTGGCTCCCTGCCCCTTCCCCGGCATGCCCTGGGGGAAGAGGCTGATCTCGCGGCTCCCGACTGGGGTTGGGTGGACTGGTGGGAGGTGCCTCGTGCCTGGGATTCTCAGGGGATCCCTGAAGGTTGGGGGACCAGCTCCCCATAAGGCCAATCACAACCCAGTTCAGAACCCAGGACAAGCCAGAGGCCCCTCCATGACAGCTCTCCAGCCCTCTCCCGGAGCCCCCAACCTGTCCGCTCCCTTCCTGGCAGCCCCTGGTAAAATAAACCGACCCAGACCACCTCCTCAGACCACTGCCTCAGGGGTCTCCTCCTGGGCCCAAGGGCCCCCCTCCACCTCTTCTGGAGGCCCCATTCTTGCTTTCTCGCCTTTCCCCTTCCTTCTTCCTTGCCCCATCTTGGCATCCACCCCTCGCTCTCAGCCGGACTTACCTCTGCCTAATGTCTGCTTTCTCTCATTTATTCCCAAAGACGTATGGAGTGCCTGCTACGGACCAGGCCCAGGTCTAGGACTTGAGGATTCAGCAGTGAATGAGGCAGATGGGATCCCTGCCTCAGGGAGCTCCCTGTTCTGTGTGCATGTGTGTGTTTTGGCGGGGAACTGACAATAAAAGAGTATATCCATGCATTTTTCAAAAAGCAAGATTCATTTCCAATTCAGATTGGAGTTAGTGCTGAAAAGAAAATAAAACACAAGGCCGGGTGCAGCGGCTCACACCTGTAATCCCAGCACTTTGGGAGGCTAAGGCAGGCGGATCACTTGAGCCCAGGAGTTCAAGACCAGCCTGGGCAACAGAGTGAGACCTCCGTCTTTACAACAAAATAAAAAAATTAGTCAAGTGTGGTGGCGCATACCAGTGGTCCCAGCTACTCGGGAGGCTGAGGTGGGAGGATTGCTTGAGCCCGGGAGGTTGAGGCTGCAGCGAGCTGTGATCTTACCACGGTACTCCAGCCTGGTTGATAGAGCAATTTTTTCTTTTTTTTTTTTTTAATGTTTCAAAACAATTAAAAACAGCGACCTGATGGAGGGGCTACCTGACACCAGGTGGTCAGGAAAGGCTTTGAAAGCCTGGAAGGCTGGGCCATGGGAAGTCCTAGGATTCCAGGCTGAGAGAGCACACGTGCAAAGGCCCTGCGGTGGGACATTGAGGGAACAGCAAGGGGAGACCCATGTGGCTGGAGCGGAGTGAGCAGGGGGAGTGGTGAGAGGCGAGGTCTGCGGGAACCAGGAAGGCCAACCACGAATTGGGAGGAGTTTGGACTTATTCCAAGTCAGTTAGGAAATTCCCTCTTTCTCTCAACCACCATTTCCAAGCACAGAGTCTAAATTATTCTAAACCCCACTCGAGGAGGCAGGTGCTGTACAGATGGGGAAACTGAGGCAGCGCATAGCACAAAGGACAGGGGGGCGTCAAACTCCTCACTTGATCGCGCCCTCAGCCAGCCCCTTCCTAGAAAGTGCTTGGGTATCTTTGTAGGCCTCCGTTTCTTGACAGAGGGCCAGGATTCGAACCGCAGATATGCCTCTACTCTAGGTAAGACCCCTCTCTCTCTCTCCTCCGGCCTCGGCGACCTGTTCCGTGCAACGGGGCCAGCCGAGACGCCCTCTCTCCAGCCGGGATCTGAGCCTTCGGAGACCACTGCGCGACTCTGCCCCGTCGGCCGCCACTCACGCCCTCTACGGCTCTCCATTGGCCGGACGCGCTGCTGCCCCGCCCCCACCGCGACTTTGCGAGCTAATCATTTTCTCCAGACTGACAGCCTTGCCGGCGCCCCTCCCCTGGGGCGGGAGCAAAGCAGCAGCATATGCGGATTGGTTGAGAAGCAGGGGGCGGGGAGAGTTGGTGAGCGCTGATTGCGGGCAGAGGTAGTGGCACATGCGGATTGGCCGGAGGGAGGGGGGCGAGGCAGCGCATGATGAGTGTCGATTGGACGGCTCGACCCAAGTGGGCGGAACGTGGACGGTGCAGGGGGTGGGCCACGTGTCCAGCCCCAACGAAACGGTAACCCGCCCCGAGAAGCCCGCAAGAGGCCTCAGCGGCGGCCGTCCGAGCGCCGAGAGGTGAGGGTGCCCCCGGCCTCACCTGCGGAGGGGCCGTTCCGGGCTCGAACCCGGCACCTTCCGGGTAAGTCCTCTCTCACTGCTGGCGCTATTTGGAGATCGACCTTCCCGCCTAACAGATGGGGAAACTGAGGCTCTGCCTGGTCGTCCCGGGCCAAGGTCACAGAACCAGAAGGAGGACGCCACGTGGCCCCGCCAGAACTGGCTGGCCAGAGACCCGAAGCGTCCCCGGGTCGCACCTGCCGCCTCTGTAACAGCGCTGCAGGGTGGGCAGGTTTCATCCCCATTTCTCTGACGAGAAAACTGAGGCTAAGACAAAGAGAAACTTGCCCAGGGTCACACAACCAGGAAGTCCAGGCTCCAAGGCCAGGTTTCCGAGACCGCGTCGGGAAATCCACAGCCCTACCCCGCCCCCGTTGCCGCCCACCTCCAGCCACGCCCCCTTTGGCCTTGGATACCCTCCGCTCAGGCTGAACCTCTCCTCGTTCCCCGGGACACGCCCAGCCCTCTCCAGCCCAGACCTTCCCTCCACATGTCTCTCGCTCACACACACATCCACTCTCACCCCAGTTTTTCATCTCCCCCAAAGCAGTTCCCCTCTCCGGGATCTCCTATGAGTCTTCAGGTCATGCCCCTCGCTCGACCAGAAACGGGGGGCCTTTCTCACCGACTTTCCCCACCGTCCCCGCTGTCCCTTCCTGTCTCTCCCCTGTCCCACTGGGCCCCAGCCCCGACCTCCTCCTCCCTGGCCTTTGCCTCCAGTTCAACCGCACAGCGGGGCCATGAAGCCATCTTTGTATTTTGCATTTTGAACACTTTTTCTGGAATAATACCACATACGCAGAAAATCATACAGTTTGCACATACACAGCTCAAATAAATATTTATAAAGGGAGAACCCTGGTGTAAACAAGTACCCAAAGAAAAAAGTCAAACATGCGCCACATCCCAGGATCTCCTGCCGTCGTCGTTTCCATCACAGTGGTCCAAGGGCAATCACTGTCCTGGCTTCTGACATCATAGATCATTTTTGCTGGGTTTTGGCTTCACTTAAACCCTTTATTGTGTATAGTATTGACTAGACAACCTGTTGCACATTGTCCAGAATTCAGAAGAAACAGAATAGGACCTAGTGAAAAGGCTCCTACACACTTCCCCAGTGCCTGGTTCACCCGTCTGAGTCTCCTGTTTCTTGCTCGTTTGCCAGAGATAGCAGATATAGATATATGCAACACAGACACACTTTCTCTCCCTTTTTTCTTTGGCACAAAAAGGAGCATTCCACACACACTGTTCTGCTGCTTTTTCACTTCTCTCAAACATGTTTTCGTATTGTTACTTAAAGAGCTTCCTCGTAATTTTTTCTGGCTGCGAGGAATAACAGAGTATAGTTACGGCATAACCATACTGGTTATTACATAACCAGTATACCCTAATTGTGGACATTGATACTTCTGCTCCTTTGCTCTGGGGAAGAGTCCTGTAATGAATAACCCTGTGTCGTTTCACATGAATGTCTGTCGGATAAATGCTTAGGGGCAGCTTTTGAGGTCAGAGGGTTTGTGTATCCATCATTTTGAGAAGTACAGCTGCTCGGCTGTCCCTAGGAGTTGTTACAACCCACACTGCTGTCAGGCCAGAGGGGAGTTCCTGGGTGCTACAGATGCCTGTCCTAGGCTTTTGGACATGCTGGCCCCCAGATGTGCCCCTGCATGGCTCCCGACTGCCCTCCGCAGAGAGACTCCAGGGCCCTCGTGACCCACCTGTCAGCTCTCCAGCTCCTGGTTCCCTCAGAATCATCCCTTGGGGCCTGAGTGTCCCAGGTCCTGCCTCCTGCTCAGGGGAGGAAGGGTTAGCACGTGAGTGGGTATGAGAGGGTCACTCCGGGGGAGGAAACCGCAAGGGCTGTTTGAGAGGAAGGAGTGGCTGGGCTGAGGCTGGAGGGTCCAGAGCAGTGCCGGAGCGGGGAAAGGGGCGTCTGCATCTTAGTCCTGAGGACAGAGAGAATCCACGGGGGTCAGGGGACAGTTTGAGACAGGGGAGTAATAGTCAGCTTTGTGTTTTCTGAAAAGATCGTTTTTCTGTCTTCACTTCCTCTGGGAGAACACTGCAGCCCCTGCCAAGCTGGATCTGGCTCCCTCCAAATCCCAGCACTTATCACTGTTGTAATTATGGGATTAATTCACTGGTTTTGTTTCAGAGAGAGTTTCCATTCAATTTTATTTAGTGGGATAAAATTTGCACAACATAAAATTCACTGTTTTAACCATTTATTCATTTTTAAACTTGAGATATGATGCACATAGAAAACATTTGCTATGGTGGATGGATTTTATTCAAAGAATAATCGGCCAGGCGTGGTGGCTCACGCTTGTAATCCCAGCACGTTGCGAGGCTGAGGTGGAAAGATTGCTTAAACCCAGGAGTTGGAGACCAGCCTGGGCAACATAGCAAGACCCTGTCTCTGAAAATATAAAAATACAAAAATTAGCCAAGTGTGGTGGCATACACCTGTAGCTCTAGCTACTTGGGAGGCTGAGGTGGGATGATCACTTTAGCCCAGGAGGTTAAGGATGCAGTGTGCTATGACTGTGCCACTGTACTCCAACCTAGATGACACTATGAGACCCTGTCTCAAAAAGAAAAAATAGTACAGAGAGGCCAAGGCAGGAGGGTTGCTTGAGGCCAGGACGAGAGAGAGAAAGAAAGACAATGAGCATCAGTGTCCTCACTACCCAGCTTTGAAAATAGCAGCTCCAGGCCAGGTGCGGTGGCTCACACCTGTAATCCCAGCACTTTGGGAGGCCGAGCCAGGTGGATCACGAGGTCAGGAGTTCAAGACCAGCCTGGCCAAGGTGGTGAAACCCCATCTCTACTAAAAATACAAAAATTAGCCAGGCATGGTGGCGTAAGCCTGTAATCCCAGCTACTCGGGAGGCTGAGGCAGGAGAATCCTTGAACCCGGGAGGCAGAGGTTGCAGTGAACCGAGATCGTGCCACAGCATTCCAGCCTGGGTGACAGAGCAAGACTCCATCTCAAAAAAAAAAAAAAAGAAAAGAAAAGAAAAAGAAAATAGCAGCTTCTCATTGAGTGCCCTGGCTCCCTCAGCTTCCCAGAACACCTTCTGTCTTGCTTCTAATGAGCCTCCAGGGTCTCCCATTTCCCTGGTGAGTTAATGAATAAATGAGTTCAGTACAAACAAATTGTACACACAGACGGGGAGAGAGCTGCAGACAAAGCGCAGCCCAAACCCTCAGTTGTGCAGCAAACTCAGGGACCCAAAAACACCAGCCTCCCAGGGACACAGGCCAAGACATGCTGAGACAGGGCCCCTGTGGTGTAGACGCTCTGACAGTGTAGACGCTCTGACCGAGTGGAAGTCAGGTGTGCCCTGCATGGCTGCAGGACCTAGGACAGGTGAACGGGCCCTCTGGGTCGAGGTTTCCTCCCCTGCAAAATAATCGCTGTCCAGGTGGCTTCACTAGCCTGTCCTTTTTTTCTTTTTCTTTTTCTTTTTTTATTGTGGTAAAATGCACTTAACATAAAACTTACCCTTTCAGCCATTTGAAAATGCACAGTGGGGCAGCATTCAGAGTCATGCTGTTGTGCCGCCGTCACCACCAAGCCCCAGAGCATTTTCAGTATCCCAAACAGAAACCCTACACCCCTCAGCGGTCACCCTGAATTCCTTGCGGCCACAGCCCCTGGCAGCCACCCATCTGCTTTCTTTTTTTTTTTTTTTTTTTTTGAAACGGAGTTTTGCTCTTATTGCCCAGGCTGGACTGGCAGTGGCGCCATCTCTGCTCACCGCAACCTCCACCTCCCGGGTTCAAGCAGTTCTCCTGCCTCAGCCTCCTGAGTAGCTGGGACAACAGGCGTGCACCACCACGCCTGGCTGATTTTGTGTTTTTAGTAGACATGGGGTTTCACTATGTTGGCCAGGCTGGTCTCAAACCCCTGACCGCAGATGATCCGCCCGCCTCAGCCTCCCAAAGTCCTGGGATTATAGGTGTGCGCCACCGAGCCGTCTCCTTTTTTTTTTTTTTTTTTTTTGAGACAGAGTCTCGCTCAGTCGCCCAGGCTGGAGTGCAGTGGTATAATCTCGGCTCACTGCAACCTCCGCCTCCTGGGTTTCAAGCGATTCTTCTGCCCCAGCCTCCCAAGTAGCTGGGTTACAGGCGCCCACCACTGCCTGGCTAATTTTTGTATTTTTAGTAGAGATGGGGTTTTGCCATGTTAGCCAGACTGGTCTGAAACTCCTGACCTCAGGTGATCCGCTCGCCTCAGCCTCCCAAAGTGCTGGGATTGCAGGTGTGAACCACTGTGCTCGACCCCATCTGCTTTCTGTCTGCGGATTTGCCTGTTCTGGGCATTTCAGGTAAACAGGATCTCACACTCCTTTTGTGTTGAGGTTTGTCCATGCTATGGCTTGTTCAGGGGCCCCCTTTCTTCCTATGGCTGAAGAATATGGCCTCAGTTTCCTCTTGGAGCAAGGTGAGGATCAGGTGGGCCGTTCAGGAGGCCCTGGGGCGTGGGCTGGCCCAAAATAGGATGCCCAGCAGAGCCTCCATTTTGGGGCTGATGGTAACCGGGGCTGATGGTAACTGGGGCGGATGGTAACTGGGATCTGATATTAACCAGGGCGGATGGTAACCGGGGCTGATGGTAACTGGGGCTGATGGTAACTGGGGCGGATGGTAACCAGGGCTAATGGTAACCAGGGCTGATGGTAACCCAGATCTATTGGTAACCGGGATCTGATAGTAACCAGGGCTGATGGTAACCGGGGCTGATGGTGACTGGGGCAGATGGTAACCAGGGCTAATGGTAACCAGGGCTGATGGTAACCCGGATCTATTGGTAACCGGGATCTGATAGTAACCAGGGCTGATGGTACTAGGGCTGATGGTAACTGGGGATCTGATAGTAACCGGGGCGGGTGGTAACCAGGGCAGATGATAACCAGGGTGGATGGTGACTGGGGCGGATGGTAACCAGAATCATGAAGCACTCCTTGATGTTATACATAGTCCTCAGCAAGGAGAACACGGGGGCCGGGAGGGGGACACCTGGAGCCACGTGTGGACGTGGCCCAGAAGGCTTCCCAAGGAAGTCACCTCCCTGCCGAATAGGACAGAAATAAGAAAGAAGCCCGTTCCAGGCTCAGGGAACGGCAGACGCAGAGACCTGGAGGTGGGAAGAAGGTTGGCAAGGTGCCCCAGGCCCTGCAAGGCTCTGTGTGCAAGGACCTGGACGCCAGCTGGAGACATTGAGAGGAGTCCTCGGGCCTGACCCAGCGCCCCTCTGCCCACCCCCAGAAAATGGCGGCTGCCAGGCCCATCCTGGGCCGAGTCCTTCCAGGATCCTCTATCCTGTTCCTGTGTGACATGCAGGAGAAGTTCCGCCACAACATCGCCTACTTCCCACAGATCGTCTCAGTGGCAGCTCGCATGCTCAGGGTATGACCTCAGCCCTCCACCCTCAGACCCAGGATCCAGGCTCAGCCCCCCACCCTCAGACCCAGGATCCAGGCTCAGCCCTCCACCCTCAGACCCAGGATCCAGGCTCAGCCCTCCACCCTCACCCAGGATCCAGGCTCAGCCCTCCACCCTCACACCCAGGATCCAGGCTCAGCCCTCCACCCTCACACCCAGGATCCAGGCTCAGCCCTCCACCCTCAGACCCAGGATCCAGGCTCAGCCCTCCACCCTCAGACCCAGGATCCAGCCTCAGCCCTCCACCCTCACACCCAGGATCCAGGCTCAGCCCTCCACCTTCAGACCCAGGATCCAGGCTCAGTCCTCCACCCTCAGACCCAAGATCCAGGCTCAGCCCTCCATCCTCAGACCCAGGATCCAGGCTCAGCCCTTCACCCTCAGACCCAGGATCCAGCCTCAGCCCTCCGCCCTCAGACCCAGGATCCAGGCTCAGCCCTCCACCTTCAGACCCAGGAGTCCAGGCCCACTTCCTCTTCCCTTAGACCCAGGAGTCCAGGCATAACCCCTCTTCCCTCAGACCCAGGAGTCCAGGCCCAGCCACTCCTCCCTCAGACCCAGGAGTCCAGGCGTAGCCCCTCCTCCCTCAGACCCAGGAGTCCAGGCATAGCCCCTCCTCCCTCAGACCCAGGAGTCCAGGTCCAGCCCCTCCTCCCTCAGACCCAGGAGTCCAGGCCCAGCTCCTCCTCCCTCAGACCCAGGAGTCTAGGTGTAGCGTCTCCTCCCTCAGACCCAGGAGTCCAGGCCCAGCTCCTCTTCCCTCAGACCCAGGAGTCCAGGCATAGCCCTTCCTCCCTCAGATGCAGGAGTCCAGGCCCAGCCCCTCCTCCCTGGACCCAGGAGTCCAGGCCCAGCTCCTCTTCCCTCAGACCCTGACCTTTCTTCCCCATCACTGGCACAGGTGGCCCGGCTGCTGGGGGTGCCAGTCTTGCTGACAGAACAGTACCCGCAAGGCCTGGGCCCCACGGTGCCTGAGCTGGGGGCTGAGGGTCTTCAGCCACTGACCAAGACCTGCTTCAGCATGGTGCCCGCCCTGCAGCAGGAGCTGGACAGCCGGCCCCAGCTGCGTTCTGTGCTGCTCTGTGGCATTGAGGCACAGGCCTGCATCTTGGTGAGATGCTGACTGACCCCAGGGGTCCCTCATTCTCACCTGGGACCCCCATCCTAAATAGAACCTCCTTCCCTGACTGGAAACCTCCACTTCCCTGTTGGACCCCCATCCTGACCTGGGCCCTCTCTTCTCACATGCGGGCCCCATCCTATCTTGGATCCCCTTCTGACCTGGGGGCCCCCTGCTCTGATCCAAGCCTCCCTCCTCCCCATTCTGGGCCCCTAATTCTGACTCAGCATCCCCAGTTCCTTACCGAGGACCCCTGTTCTTATCCAGAATTGGCCCTGACCTCTCTCTACCCACAGAACACAACCCTGGACCTCCTGGACCGGGGGCTGCAGGTCCACGTGGTGGTGGACGCCTGCTCCTCACGCAGGTGAGAGCGCCCTCCCTGGGTGGGTGCACTTGGGGGCCATGAGGGGTTCCCAGGAAGGGCCACAGGCGGCATTCCCATTCCCACCAGGGTGCCAGCGTGTCTGGGTGTCTAGGCCGTCGCATCCACACCAACCTTCCCTCCCTCCCTCCTATTCACAGCCAGGTGGACCGGCTGGTGGCGCTGGCCCGCATGAGACAGAGTGGTGCCTTCCTCTCCACCAGCGAAGGGCTCATTCTGCAGCTGGTGGGTGATGCCGCCCACCCGCAGTTCAAGGAGGTAATGCCCTCGCGGCCGCCCCCACCTCCCCCGCATCTGACAAAGGTCTTGCCTTTGGGCTCTGGGAATACATCCCGGCACCAGCAGCCTGCCGCCTCCAGGGGGAGCCAGGTTCTTGGAGGGGAGGCTGCTGGTCACTGTCGCCGCCATAAATCCATGAAAGGAGTCTGCAGATGGACCACAAGGACCACAGAGAGCGATGAAATGGGGGAGGCGATCCAGAGGGCCAGGGCACAGAGGAAGGGGTTTGTATTGGAGGGTCTGGGGGGCGTCCTGGAGCAGGTGACTTTAGAATGAACTGAAGGAGGAAAGGACCAGGCAGACACTGGGCAAGAACAGGTCAGCAGAGACCCTGTAGATAGAAGCCCCTTGACCTATCCACACCCATCCCCAACTCTCCATCTCCTCCGCCTCTGCCCCTTCCGGCCCAGGTGCCCCTCCTCCAGTTTCTCAGACTCCACACCCACCCCCAGAGTGGCCGCCCTGCTACCAGGGTCAGCCAGGTACTGGGCCCCCCTGCTTCAAGCCCTTGGCCCTCAGGATGCTGGAGAGGCCCGGGCCCTTGACATTCCCAGGCCCTCCCAGGTCTGCTCCTTGCCTTCCTTCTATTCCAGCTCTGTGAGACATTCACTGAGCACCTACTCCATGCCAGCCAGTGTGGTGCGCCCTGGAGTCTGCATCAATCCATGTTCAATCACACATTGTGATCCCCAGCTGGGGCGGGAGTTGCAGAGGGATGAGTGAGAGTGGCAGGGGTGGCCCTGAATTCTGACCTGCAGGGGAAGGGAGCATCAGGCACTCAGTGTTCCCAGGGGAGGGGGACTGAGCTTTCTTTGTCCAAAGAGCTGTAGCAGGCCACGGTGAGCACTGGGCAGGAGGAGCCAGCACCCTGTCTTCACACAGGAGCCAGAGCCCAAAGGTTTGGGATTTCAGCCATGGGCAGCCATCAGGGTTTGGTGCAGGGGAGCTGCCCATATCAGATTGGCAGTTTACAAAGTTCTTTCTGGCACTGTGTGACCAATGGGTTAGGGAGTGTGGCATAGAGGGGAGGAGGGAGACCTGTCAGTAAGGAGGTTAATTTGGGCACCCAGGCAAGCAGTGATGAGGCAGTGGGGATGCAGGCTTTTTTTTTTTTTTTTCCTTTATTATTATTATTTTTATTTTCTGGAGATAAACTTGCTGGGACTTGCTGATGGATGAAATGCGGTTGGTTGCTCATGTCTATCTAAGAGGCAGTTGGATAGATGAGTCTGGAGTTCAGGGGCAAAGTCCAGGCTGGATTTGGGAGTTGAGGGCCCAGAAGAGGGATGGGAGAGATGAGGTTACTTAAGAAGAGGAAGGTGTAGATACGAAGCCCTGGCACAGAGCTGTCCACCCTTAGTGGTCCAAGCCAGCAAAGCAGACCAAGATGGTGGGCACTTAGGAGCTCAACCAGTCATGTGTAATGAAAGGGAGGCCCCAGAAAAAGTCTTGAGAAGAGGGAGTGTTGTCTTGGGCAGCTGCTGGCCGTAAGATCTCAGAGATGAAGACGGAGAGGTGTCCCTCAGATTTGTCATCCATGGAGTTCAGGACCCTAGACTCTTCCTGTCCCATCTCCCTCTGCCCCTACAGATCCAGAAGCTCATCAAGGAGCCCGCCCCAGACAGCGGACTGCTGGGCCTCTTCCAAGGTCAGAACCCCCTCCTGCACTGAACTCCAACCCTGCCTTGAGGGAAGACCACCCTCCTGTCGCCCGGACCTCGCTGGAAGCGCGTTCCCCCCATCCCTGGATCCCAAGAGTGGTGCGATCCACCAGGAGTGCCGCCCCCTTGGGGGGGGGGAGGTAGGGTGCTGCCCTTCCATTGGACAGCTGCTCCCGGAAATGCAAATAAGACTCCTGAAAGCTGGGTGGGAATTGGCTGAGCCGAGGTGGAGGCGGGGCTCGGCCCCGGGCCACTTCACGGGGCGGGAAGGGGAGGGGAAGAAGAGTCTCAAACTGTGGGACACGGACTCGCAGAATAAACATACATGTGGCTGTGGACCAAACCATTCTTGGGTTGGGGGGAATCCCGGGGGCGACTGGGGGCTGCATGAGGGAGAAAGCGGGGTCCCCAGCAGGTGGGGAGGGGGAGGTGCCTCTTCTCGGCTCAAAGCCGGCGCGAGGCAAAGGCGAGGGCTGGCGGCTGACACATCTGCACGGACGCGGCGCATCTGCCCGGAGGAGAACTGCGGCCGGGGTCGCCCCCAGCCGGCGCGCGCACGCCCAGCCCAGCTGCCGGCAGACACGCGCTCCGCCGCTGCCTCCGGCCGCCCCCCACGCCGCCGCCCCCGGCTCCCCAAGGGTCCCGCATCCGGAAAGCGAGGTGAGCGAGACCGCACCCCGGTGCGGGGGGGAAACTGAGGCACGGGGACATGGAGACGGGGAGGAAGGAAGAGACATCCATGTGGATGGGTGGATGGATGGACGGACGGAAGGGCGGGCTGAAAGCTTCAGCCTTGTAGTCCCGGCTCCCCCAGACGCAGGAGTTCCGGGACCCACATGGGGGCTCCCAGAATTCTGCAGATTTGGGAGTTGGAACTCTGCAGACCCCCAGGGAGAGCTCCCCCGTTCCAGATTTGCAGCCCTTGCCTCTTCCTCAACCTTAGGGACCTGAGAGGCCACCCCTGAGTCCTCAGGGACACCGGCGTCAGAGCTGTCAGCCAGCCCGCCCCGCGTTAGGCAATCCGAGCCCCCACCGCCGACCCTGGGAGCCCAGACCCCTCCCAGAAGGTCCGGTCCCCCGGCCCCCAGCGTCGGAGCGCCCAGCACCCCTCTCCCCAGGGATCTTGGAGGAGCCCCTGGGACCGGGCGGCGGCGCCCCCGGCCCCCGCCTTCCGGATCCAGGTGTCCCCCCTCCTCACCCCCCAAGCCCGAAGCCTCGCGTCTTGGAGGCCCCGCGCGCGTCGCCATGGCAACGAGAGTCTATTTTGCGCTGGGAACACACAGCTCCCGCCGCAGCGCCCCCCCACCCCACCAACCCGGGCCTGAATGGGAGTGGGGGACCCGGGAGGGGGCTCGGGGGTCCGGGTCGGGGGTGAGTGGAGGCACAGACACTCGGACAGAGATCCGACGACAGCAAACCTGGGACAGGGACAGAGACAGAGACGTGGAGCCAGGGAGGAGAGAGGAGCGGAATGTGGAGACAGAGGGGAGACGGAGATCGGGCGGGGGAAGGAGGGAAATGGAGGCGCGCAGGGAACTGAGGCTAGGAGCTGGGGAGAGCCCGGGACAGAGGCGCCGGGACGGAGAGAGACGCGGAGAGAGACGCCGAGATGCGCGGAGACCCGCAGCGAGAGACGAGGGCTGAGACCCCCCTAGAGACAGAGACAGGCGGGGGAGGCGGGGGTCCGGGCGGAGGCGTGGACGGGGCGCCCCGGGACGCGGAGATGCAGAGACCCAGAGACAGGCACGCAGACCCGGCGGCGCAGGGATCTGGGCGGGGGCGCAGGCACCGGCCGCCGCCTGGGCTGCGGGTCGGGGGAGGGTCCTCTTCCTTAGCTTGGTCCCTGCCTTCCCCGCGGCCAGCGAGGCACGGCGCCCCCGCGCAGCCCCCCCAGGGTCTCCCCGCCCCGCCGCCCCCGGCGCCCGGAACTGGGGTCCCCGCGCCCTCCAGCAGGAGCCCGCCCCTTCCCGCCTCCTCTTGAACGCACATCTCTACCCCAAACCCACCTGTCAGCCCCACAGGAGCCCCACCGTTCGCACTCGGACCCCGCGCCCGCCCGGCCCAGCCCCGGCCTCTCTCTCCACACCCACTGAGCCCCTCAGCCCCCCACCCACCCCCTGCGGACCTCACTCCAGCCCAGCTCCCGAGACCCCAGAGGAGCCGATTCTCGGGCGTCTGTCCCCTCTGTAGGTCGTGTCGTCCTCTCTCTGGCTCTCTCATCTCAGGGTCAATGACCCCCACTTCTCTAGGACTCTGCATCCCCTCTGAGCATTTGTCTCCCGTCCCCCGTCCGTCTCTTTTGCCTCTTTCTGGGTCTCTGTCCCCTCTCTCTCAGGGTCTCTGTCCCCTCTCTCTCTGAGTCTCTGTCCCCTCTCTGGGTCTCTGTCCCCTCTCTCTCTGGGTCTCTGTCCCCGTGTCTCTGGGTCTCTGTCCCCTCTCTGGGTCTCTGTCCCCTCTCTGGGTCTCTGTCCCCTCTCTCTCTGGGTCTCTGTCCTCCTGTCTCTGGGTCTCTGTCCCCTCTCTCTCTGGGTCTCTGTCCCCGTGTCTCTGGGTCTCTGTCCCCTCTCTCTCTGGGTCTCTGTCCCCTCTCTGGGTCTCTGTCCCCCTCTCTCTCTGGGTCTCTGTCCTCCTGTCTCTGGGTCTCTGTCCCCGTGTCTCTGGGTCTCTGTCCCCTCTCTCT